TGCACCACATCCTCACATTAATTAGCACCTCACTGGCAGGCTAAGTATCATTTTTCAAAAGGATTGCAATTAACAAAATAAAACAAATCCCTCTTTAGTTCGAGCAGCACTGCTTCTCTACCTTTCTTCAAAGTGATGGGGTCAAATTGTTGTTTTCCTCTGTAAACCAGCAGTGGAAATATTTCCAGATGTGGGGCGGTTTTCACTTGCCTAACACCTTTTGCCTGAATATTTTAAAGAGAAGGGTGGGGAAGGATACTGATTTTCTTTGATTTTTCTTCGATTTATCTGGGAAGCTGGAGGTTTCCAGGTGGAAGGAGGTGGTAAGTAATTTACCTCAGATTACAGAATGACTCATGAGCAGAGTCTGGTTTTGTGGATTATTTCTCGTGGATTATTTTTTTCACCAGATGATCCACTGCAACTCAAAATTTGGTAATGTGTCTTTCTTGAAAAAAAAAAAAGTTATGTTTGTGCTGAACATCCCGGTTTATTCCTTGTGTTGATACAGTAAATTACCAGCCTGTCCCGTTCATCCAGCCTTTGAGACTGATGCCAATGGCAGCCCGAATGCAGAGCTTGGGAATGAGTCTCACACAGCCATCAGCTTGAAAGCTGTCTACGAACTCACCAGTGTGAAACTGTAATACCACAGCAATATTACTCTGTGACAGCTGGAGAACCAGAGAGGTCTCAATGGCAATTAACAGAACACGATCATCTGAAAATACTCTGTATTCCTTTGGATGCTTTGCAACATGATCTTCTCTCTGTGGAGAAAACCCTTAGTGCATGGGGCTTAAAGATCTCTTTCCCTATTTTTTAAACAAATTCTGTGGAAACAAATGTTCTCGACTTGAAGTTTTGTATATAAAACCAGCTTAGAGTTGTCATTAAAATACTGTGGCTGCAAAGTGCCAACAAAACATGAAAATATTGACTGTCAGTGGTAATGCAGCTCCCTCAGGGGCAGCCAGAGATCCCCATGGTGCCATGGCTTCCAGGCATGATTTTCTGGCTGGATTGACCCCTCTGGATAAGAATGGGAGAAGGAGCCAGGAGTGGGAGAGAAGGTAAGTTTGGAAAAAGACAGTATTGCCTCTGGAATGCAAATTTTGCTTTTGGGCAAAACTGTTTACCTAAAAAAAAAAACCAACAAACAAAACAAACCCCTCAAACCCATTTTTTTCCTTTCCAACTGTCTCTATAGTGCCAGACCCTATAGAGTTGTGTGGCAGTTAAAAAGGTAATTCAATAATTTGTTCTCATGAACCTGTTAAAGGCCTTCAAAGAGACTTCCAAAATCACCCTAAATAAACTCAGAAAGGAAAAGCTGATTTTCTAGGTTCAGTTCAGCTCTACTTTGTGTGAAAGATGACAAAGCCACAAGGCATGCTGTACTGCAGAGCCCACGCCAAGGTTGCCTTTGTGATGCCTCGCAACACCAGTAATATTTGTGCTTTGAAACGAACTTTTAGGGCCCCTATGTGCCATTGGCAAGTGGTATTCCTTCCTTATTAAATATTACCACGCTGTGAGAAACTGTGAGTCCAGGTGGTTTTTTAACACCTGGGAAAAAGAATGACGCCACATTGCTGTTGAAGATGATGCTGGTCTTTTGGGCAGGCCTTGCTCTTCAAGCCCACCTGAAATAATCCTGAATTTTTGGGACACAGTTTGTATGGCACAGCTGTGGTTTAATCAACCCTCTCACACAAATCTCTCTGCTACATTTCTAGAACAAAAAAAAAAAAAAAA